CGACTGCGCCACCCAGGCGCCCCTAGATAAATATTTTTAAATATTAAAATTAATTATTATTATATTATCCACAATCAGCATGGAGGCAGACATGGAGCTGGATCCCAGGACCCTAGGATCATGACCTGAGCCAAAATCAAGAGTCGGACACTCAACTGACTGAGCCACTCAGGTGCCCCTATTTTTTTTAGATGACCAAAGAGATTTTGATAAAAAGACATTTCTAAAAGAGGATGACATTGAATTTAAAAAATTTTATATACAGTAAAACTCTAATTTTTAAAATTAATTGAAAATGTTTTCAGTACAGTTAATGTACAGTGTATTAGTTTTAGGTGTACGGTGTAAATGATTCAACAATTGTATTCATTACTCAGTGCTCATTGTGATAAGTATAATCTTTATTGCCTATCACCTAATTTCACCCATCTCCCACCCACCGCTCCTCTGGCGACCATCAGTTTGTCCTCTGTAGTTAAGTCTGTTTCTTTGGTTTGTCAAAACTTAATTTTTTTCATATACAGTCCTGAGGGTTTTTTTTTTTTTTTTATTATTAAATGTTTATTTATTTATTTTGAGGGAGAGAGAGTATGAGCGAGGGAGGAGCAGGGAGAGAGGGAGAGAGAGAATCCCAAGCAGGCTCCATGTTGTCAGCGCAGAGCTTAACATGGGGTTCAAATCTCACAAACCCTGAAATCGTGACCTGAGCCAAAATCAAGAGTCAGATGCTTAACCAACTGAGCCACTCAGGCGCTCCCCTCCTGAGTTTTAACACATGCATAGATTTTTGTAATTATAGCCACCACTAACAGTATACAGAACAATTCCAACACCTCAAAGAATTCCCTTGTGTTACTCCTTTGTAGTCCTCTCCCTTCTCATTCTGAGCACTTGGATTCATTTTGTTTATTTATAAAAATATTCATTTTTGAGAGAGAGAGAGAGACAGGGTGAGTTGGGGAGAGGCAGAAAGAGAGGGAAACACAGAATTCGAAGCAGGCTCTGAAGCAGGCTCCAGGCTCTGAGCTGTCAGCGTGAAGCCTGACCCAGGTCTCAAACCCATGAACCATGAGATCATGACCTGAGCCGAAGTCAGATGTTTAACTGAGCCACCCAGGCGCCCTTATTTGTGTTTTAAAGAGAAAATTTTTCATGGCTAGAATATGTTAGAACTAGAATGAGTGGATAACTGATCACCCGAATTGTTGGTTTTCTTTTGGAAATATAAATGAGATAATTCCAGTCTTCAACATGCAATAAACTAATTATCCTTGTATATGAAGGAATGTTTATAAAGGCTTTAAATTAAAAAATTACTGTATAACTTCTGAAAACTGTCAAGTGAGGTGAATCCCATAATGTCAGTTTATATAAAGGACCATCTAAGAGAATTTGGAGGCTAAGTCTGTGATAATAATGGATTCATCTCTCTGGTAAATCTAGACTTCCCATTTACTGCTCTTGCAGGGTTAGTTAGAGATTAATTTTGCCAAGGATTATGTTATGAAGTCTCAGTTTTTCTTCCTAACTTCTCTCTAGCATTGTCACTTTCTGCTAGCCTATTTTTTCCTAGCACTTAAAGTTGTTTTTAGCCATTCAACTTTCCTAGGGATTGAAGGGAGGATATGCTATCTGTATAACTATGGTTGTTGCAAATGTAGCTTTCATTTATCTTGTATATATTAGTTTCAACCTAAAGCAGTTAATAATGTAGAAACTTCATTTCCTTACAAAATTCACAAATCCTTACCCTGAATCCTGGCTTCAGGATCTGTTTTCCCCCACCTCTTCGCCAAGAATGCATACCTCCTCATTTCCTGCAGTATTTAAAGCAGTTCGCTTGAGGTTATTATCATTGCCCTTTTAACTGGGTGTATTTACTGCTGGACCATCCCCTCTGTTGTGGTATTGCTAGAGCCAGGTCTGCAACTCACAGTCTTCTGGTGCAAGCTAGGAAGAACTGACATGCTTGTTCCTGACTCTAGCCTGTCCTCCCCTGGTGCTGGAATCACTTGGGAGACCACCAGGCAAATGCTTACTTGTCTTCAGGGGAAATGCGATCCTGATTATCCATGCCTTCAGGAGAAGGATTATGTGGATTAAAAGAAATCCATGAGTAATCCAGAAGCTTTATTTAAACTGCAGTTTAACCACATTCCTGACGATAGTTTTTCCTTGCATTTCTAATAACTGTAATATTTACTAATTTCGTATCTATCTCCTACCATATAGAAGTATTGGCAATTGTGAAGTAGGGAAAGGATGGGAGGGGTCAAAGGAATTAGATAATGAACAGGCTTTGCCCTACATAATTTGGTGTTGACTGGGTGGTTTAACCACAGTGCTTACTAGACCTCGAAGACCTGAATTCCATGAATTCCTTACCTGCTGAGCCACTGGAAGAAATTTGAGGTGACTGTCAACAAAAGGGCAAACTCCATTTTGAGACATTTGCTCCTTACTAGTTTAAATGATTGAGCTTTCATGATTTAAATAATGAGTACTTCAGACCATCAGAATTATAAGTTTAATGCAATTTGAAGTTTTCTTTAATGTTTATTTAAAAATTTAACTTTTCAACAATTTTCAGAGGAATTAAACTGAAAAACTGCAGTTTGAAATAGAGATTGTCTCTCTCTCTCTCTCTCTTTTTTTTTTGGAGTTTATTTTGAGAGGGAGAGAGCTTGGGCAAGAGCAGGGGAGGGGCAGAGAGAGAGGGAGAAAGAGAATTCCAAGCAGGCTCCCCACACTCAGTGCGGAGCCTGATACGGGGCTTAGAGTCAACAAACCATGAGATCATGACCTGAGCCGAAACTAAGAGTGGGATGCTTAACGGACTGAGCCATCCAGGCGCCCCGAGATGCTCAGTTTTTGTAGCCAGACCACTTACTACTACCTCTGACAAGTTACTTACACAGTAATTAATTTCTATTAAAAAAATTTTTTTTTTAACATTTATTTATTTTTGAGACAGAGAGAGACAGAGCATGAACGGGGGAGGGTCAGAGAGAGGGAGACACAGAATCTGAAACAGGCTCCAGGCTCTGAGCTGTCAGCACAGAGCCCGACGCGGGGCTCGAACTCACGGAGTGCGAGATCATGACCTGAGGTGAAGTCGGCCGCTTAACCAACTGAGCCACCCAGGCACCCCTAATTTCTATTAAACCGTTGAAATATGGTCAGTTAAAATTGTGTATTTTTTTTTTTTTTGGTGCAAAAATGTGTTATTAAAGCATGAGGACGGGGCCCATGGGCAGATAATAGCTGCCTAAAATTTTGTACTCTTGAACTACCAATTTAGTGTAGGTCTTGTATTTATATACTAATAAAAGCAGTGTTTATAAATCATTACAAATTGCTGCTGTTATGTTATCTGAACAAAAATTATAATTTGTTAGCTAAAAGTTACCTCTCCAGTTGTATATTTTAAAAAAGTTAGGTTTCTGATCCTCTTGTAGTTCATAAGCGTGATGATTGGGTGTTCATGTTGTTGTGTGATATGTGCCTCCCTTAAACCTTGTTACGACCTTGGCACATTGCCCATCTGACATAGGGAAAAAAAAAGTTTCCATATTTATCAGCTAGATACATATATATATGTGTGTGTATATATATATGTGTGTGTGTGTGTGTGTGTATATATATATATATTATTCCCCTTAATTGAGATTCATTATGGGTAGTTTTTTGGGGGGAGGGGTGTCCTGGGGGACAACCATCTGGGATTCTCTTAATATGTTTATTTTTTGCTAGAGAGCCTAAGGAAACATCCATAGGAGTAGATAGATGATAGTTGGTTTTGACAAGGTGGTGATCAATTGAAATTATTTTGGGTTTTTTTTTTTGGTGGTTAGGAAACTTTCACATTTTCATTGAAAATCATTAGTTGTCTTAAGTCTTAGTATACTTTACCCACCATTTCATTATTAATATTTTTCCTAAGTAATTGGTATTGTTCTGGGTTTTAGGTCCTGATTCTACCTACAAGAAATGTCTACTGTGTGTGTGTGTATGGTAGCTATGTATGCCATATCAACCAGCAGCAATGATTTCATCCTTAACTTGTGAAGAATTTATGATTTCTTTAATTCTGTATATTGTCACCTATTTCCTTTCTGTTTCTCTCTTCCTTTCTTTTCTTTCTTTCTTTCTTTTTTTTTTAAAGTAATCTCAAGCTCAACGTGAGGCTCGATTTACAACCTGGAAATCATGTGTCACGTGCTTCACCAATTGCTCCAGCCAGGTGCCCCTCCTTTTATTTTATATCATTTTTTGTCGTTTAAAGTTGTGGCTGTCAATATAGCCCATTAGAAAAACCGCTCTTTTGCCTCTGAAGGAAGAAGGTTGGCCCAAAGAATGGAAAGAACCTTCTATTTGAATATGTTCAAGTATGTAATACCTTTTGTACCATATGAAATTCGGAAAATAAGGGGAGAAGAAAAAAAAAAGAACTTGCTCTTTGTGCTTACTATATGGGATTAGACTATAATAGTAGTTAACATTTATTGGATGCTTACTTATATGCCATGTTATGCTTAGTGGCCTTCCTAGATTTTATCTTCATAAACTTGTAATGAAGGTAGTGATGATATCCTTGCTTAAGAGATAAGGAAACTGAAGCTTTGGGGGATGTTAACATGCCAAGCATCACATAGTTGAGGAAAAGTCAGGTTTCAAACTCATATCTGACTCTAGAATTTACGTGTATTTTTTTCTCTTTCTTTTCTTTTTTCTTTTCTTTTCTTTTCTTTTCTTTTCTTTTCTTTTCTTTTCTTTTCTTTTCTTTTTTTTCTCTTCTCTTCTCTTCTCTTCTCTTCTCTTCTCTTCTCTTCTCTTTTCTTTTCTTTTTTCTTTTCTTTTCTCTTTTGATTTTATTTTTAAGTACTCTCTACACCCAACATGAAGCTTAAACTTACAACCCTGAGCAAGAGTGTTTTGCTCCACCGGCTGAGCCAGCCAGGTGCCCCTAGAATTTATATTTTTAACTGATTGCATCATACAGTTCTTTATTTTTTAGGTCCTTCAGAGGAAGGTTAAAAGATACTGTATAAGTTTAAAGTGTTGTGTTTTTTTTAGTATAATAATCACCACCTTCATCTTACACTACCTGTGTAGTATTTGGAAACAGGATGCAATTTCTGTTCATTGAACCTTTAACCTTTTTTTTTTAATTGAAGTATTAGTTTCAGGTGTGTATGTGTATATATATATATATATATATATATATTCAACAATTTAATACATTACTCATTGCTCACCATGATAAATATAGTCTCCATCTGTCACCAAGCAATGTTATTACAGTATTATTGATTGTATTCCATATGCTGCATTTTTCACCTCCTTGATTTATAACTAGAAGTTTGTGTCTTTTAATCCATTTATTTTACTTATCCCCCCACTCACCTCTCAACCATTAACTTTCTTTTTCTAACTACTCTTAAATAACTTGATATAGATATAGCCTAGTTTTATTGTATGAGTTATGAGTTAAAAAATTTGGGCTCCTGGATAGCTCAGTTGGTTAAGCGTCAGACTCTTGATTTCAGCTCAGGTCATGATTGAGCCCTGTGTTGGACTCCCCAGCTGGCAGTGCAGAATCTGCCTAGGATTCTCTCCCTGTTTCTCTGCTCCTCTCCTATTCTTGCTTTCTTGTTTATCTCTCTGAAAATAAATAAATAAACGTTAAAAAAAATAAATTATTTGATGTAGTATGCCTTTGTTTTGAATGTATAAAAAGCTTTGCTTTTGCCTTGGCTTTATAGTTAGAAAGTATGTGGTTTTAGGGGTGCTTAGATGGCTCATTCGGTTGAGCATTGACTCTTGGTTTTGGCTCAGGTCTTGATCCCAAGGTTATGGGATCCAGCCCTGCATTGTGCTCCGTGCTGAGCATAGAGCCTGTGTAAGATATTCTCTCTCTCTCTCTCTTTTGCCCTCTCCCCGACTTTTCCCCCTCCTCGTGATCTCTTTCTTTCTCTTAAAAAAAAAGAAGAGAAAAAAAAGAAGCCTGTGTTTTTATGCTTTGTTATATATATGTAGCTAACAAAAATGCTTAATGTATGATCTGGTATTATTAGATGTTCTAGTAAGCGGGTGTAGATCATCTTTACAGAATTTTCAAATACGAAAACTCTGAAGTATTTTTTCCTCTCCTGCCTAGGTAATTTGTTGGATGCTATATTGAAACATCTTGCTAAACTTGATCCTAAAGTGTTGGGAATAGAGGAAGGTAGACATAAATTTACTTTTGTTTCATGAATTTACTTTTGAATAAATGAACCAATAGATTACAGTTATTAATCCTTTAATTAAAAAAATGAATAGATAAGCATTACATTTGTGCTGTTTGGCCTCCCCCCTCCCCCACATTCACATGAGAAAAGAATGTGAGCATTCCGATTCTGTGTCTCCCTCTCTCTCTGCCCCTCCCCCGTTCATGCTCTGTCTCTCTCTGTCCCAAAAATAAATAAAAAACGTTGAAAAAAAATTAAAAAAAAAAAAAAAGAAAAGAATGTGAGCATGAACATTATATCTATCATTAATAGTATTCAGACACATAGAAGGGGATGCTCAGTTTGTGAGTTGGAGCCCCTCTTGTTGGCATGGAGCCCACTTTGGATGCTCTGTCCCCCACCTCTCCCTCCCCCACTCAGTTGCGTGTTCTGTCTCAAAAAGGAGTAAACATTTATTAAAAAAAGTTTAAAATTCTGTCACATGGTTGTAATACAATTTAATAACAAAAGTATTCAACAAAAGCTTAATTAGATAAGATTAAACTTACTTTGCTGTTATGAATAACCTTATAGTGAACATCTTTGAACTGAATCTTTGGATACAATCATTATTTCTTAGGTATGACACATGAAAACTTGGAATTGCGTTTGAATATCACATTTCCTCTTTTTTTTTATTATTTTTTTAATTTCCTTTTTTTAAATTATATAAATTGCAGAGGTTGGAATTATATAGGGAAAGGGAAACTAATGTATATTGCATCGTGAATGGTAGATAGTCCTAATCTACACAGTGTGCATAGCTCTTTAGCGATCTGCACAGAAGTATTCTAAAACCAATCATTTTCCTTTCATCCATTTCTGTACTCAGTGGACTTGTTCGGTTTTTATTCGGTGTCTCAGCCATTAGGTGTATATGAAAAAGTTCTTTACTTTTTTCTATATAAGCATTTTATCTGTTCTCATTTAATTTTGCTATTTATTTTTTTAAAGATGTCATTTTTTAATGTAATCTCTACACTCAGTGTGGGGCTTGAACTCATGACCCCTAGATCAAGTGTTGCATGCTCTTCCAACTGAGCCAGCCAGGTCCCCCTCTAAATTTATTTAATTTTAATTGAAGTACAGTTGGACATATTAGTTTCGTGTGTACAACATAGTAATTCAACAATTATATACATTATGAAATGCTCACCAAGATAAGTGTTACCATATAACACTGTACAGAGTTATTACAATATTAATTTTAACTCCAGTGTGGTTATCATACAGTATCGTACTAGCTCCAGGTATAGAGCTATTACAGTATTAATGACTGTATTCCCTATGCTGTGCTTTTCATCCTGTGACTTTTTTTTTTTTTTAATAACTGGAGGTTTGTATCAACTTCCTTAACCTATTTTGCCAATCCCCTTTACCTATCTCACCTGTCCCCCAACCTCTACCCTCTGGCAATCCCTAGTTCTGTGTATTTATGAGGAGTCTGTTGCTCTTTCTTTTGTTGTTGTTTTGTTTTTTAGACTTCACATATAAATGAAACCATACGGTATTTGTCTTCCTCTGACTTATTTCACTTAACATAACAACCTCTAGGTCAATCCACATTGTCATGAATGGCAAAATTTCATTCTTTTTAATGGTTGAGTAATCTTCCATTTTGTATATATACTATATCTTTATCCATTCATCTATATTACTGGGCATTTAGGTTGCTTCCATACCTTTGCTATTATAAATAATGCTGTAGTAAACATGGGGTGCATATAGCAGTTTTGTTTTCTTTGGGTAAATACTCAGAAGTGGAATTACTGGATTGTATGGTATTTCTATTTTTAGTCTTTGGAGGACCCTCCATAGTGTTTTCTGCAGTGGCTGTACTAATTTACATTCCCACTGACAGTGCACGAGGGTTCCCTTTTCTTCACATCCTTACCAACACTTACTATTTTTTATGTTTTTGATACTAGCCATTCTGATTAGTGAGATTGTGGTTTTGATTTGCATTTCCAGATGATTAGTGATGTTGAGCATCTTTTCATAATGTCTATTGGCTGTATGTTTTTGGAAGCATGTCTATTCCGGTTCTCTGCCCAATTTTTAGAAAATTTTATTTATTAACTGAACATTTAAGATTTTATTTATTTTTATATTTTTAAGACTTATTTTTTATTTTTGACAGAGAGATAGAGTGTGAGTGGGGGAGGGGCAGAGAGACAGGGAGACACAGAATCTGAAGCAGGCTTCAGGCTCTGAGCTGTCAGCACAGAGCCTGATGTGGGGCTCGAACTCATTAGCCTCAAGATCATGACCTGAGCTG